ACGGAAGAAAATCGTACTTTGTCTGCGGATTTTCTTTATTTTAATAAATCTACCGTCACTTCATTGTGCATATTTGTCTTTGTTCAAAAACCAATAAAGGATATGTCGAACGAAGTTAATATAAACATGAGTAAAATATACTTACTGCCTCACTCAGAGTCTTAGTACAACCCCTCAGTGTAGATTTGAAATATTAAACAATAGAAAGTAACTTCGATATGTCAGTATTATTAAAAAAAATCAGTAAGAAACATTGACATCGTCATGTTTAGTTTCTTTTCAAGATTACGTAGGATAAGAGGCTTACACGAGAATAAGTTTACGCAAACTGTAGGCCCCTTGTTAAAGGAAAGAGGATTGTTTATTGTAAGAAATCCTTTTACAAATAACAAGCCTTCCTTTTCAACAATTGTTATTATTATAACACACGGAGCGCATCGCCCTCTGTATGTACGCTTGCCTTTACATATTGCGATACGTGTTTCTTCTTCAGACTTCTTTATAGCGTTCAGGAAATAGTTTTTCTCTTAATGTTCGAATATATTAACAATTTTACTGATACAAATAATAATTTTCGATTGCAACGAAACTGTGTTAGCCTAAAATGATTGTATGTTAATATTTTTAATCCATACTTATCCATACAGGCATAAAAGGGTCTGGGGCTCAAGAGGACACCGCAAACTTCATGCCCCTTTGTACCTTTCAGTAGATGAAATCAAATCTAACGTAACCCAATTATTTGGAGACCAAAAATTTTTAGCAATAAAAAGTATGTCTAGGAGCAGAGTACATTGTACGTCTTGTCTGCATAAGACGGTTTACATTTTTTATGTGACACGAATTTCTTGAGCCCCATTTTTAGGACGCGTCTGTTCATCGATCAACGCCTTGAAAAATTTCATGTTCGGTCCAAGTTACTTACTTTACGATACGATATATATTGATACAACCGCTGTCAGTCATTAGCGATAGTGCGATTATTTTACGTAAATTAAATATATAAATATAAGATTTACTATTTGAGAAACTTGTTTTGGAAGAGACATAGCGAAAAATGTAGTTTACATGATACATACGACCACACAACATATATAATATTATAAACCTATAATAAAAAAATAACACATAAACCCACTAAGGTTGATACAAAGCAAACAAGCAAGCCGGATATCTCCAAAATAGCGAAGAGCCTGAATCGAAATCTTCAATAAGTTTGAAAAATAGGTGATGCGTTCGCGTTTCCCTTGCGCCAGCAGTCGTCCCTTAGCAGGCGGCGGTACAGTGGTGAGAAGCTGCGCCGCTCACAGATGAAGTTGATAGATGACGGGGATGTAATCCCGCCAGTAATCTCCGCTTCGCTTCGCCAAATTTTTCACTTTCATCCCGCACTTTAATCCTCCGGCGCTGCGCAGGATTTGTTTGTAATGCATAGCGCAGGAGATTTGTTTATGAGGAAAGCAACGATATAAAACCTTGTACGTAACATCGCCAAAATTACGTTCATGAACTTACAATTAACCCATTGAGACAAGGCTGTTTAAGCGGTTTTCTTTTTTTATACCAATGTCTATCAATTGTTAGCAATTTCATTGCAAAGCAATCAAGCAAAAAAGTAATCTTGTAATGTTGATTTTAGACATAATATGATCGACAATAGTTTGTTATAAACTTAATACGACACTTTATCGTCGATTTTTAAAATTTTTAAATTTCTACTCAAGCATTCTTTGAAATACAGGTATTTGAAAACCTTTTGTAAGTATTCCCAGGTTTCCAATTAAAGTACAAATAGAAAATTATTTTACAAACCGAATCCCGACGAATCCATTTAACGAATGAAACTCTAATTGAATTTCGCTTACAGTCTCAAAACTTTTTTTTTATTAAATGTAAATTTTGCTACGTCAGTTGACGTTACACAAAAAACAAACGAAATCAAAGAGAAACAAAGCAACGTGAAATTAAATCAGATCTAAATTAAATTAATTTTCAAACAGAGAGCTTTTATAATTCATTTGTATTATAACTAAGTTCAATTTAAAGTCTGTAAGTAAATTGTTTCTCAACTAACAATATTAATTCTTCTCTATGACCACTTACTTCGATAAAATGAACGAACGAACTAATGGAAACTAGAGTTTAAAATCATCTGCTTTCACGTAAATCAAATGAAAAGACGTCCTTGAGTGCTTTTAAATTATTTGAACTAATTTTCTAATGCAGTCCTCCACATACGTTAAGTTTTGTCTGATTTTAATACAGATATAAATTAGTTACATAATAGACATAATTGTACAATTTTGTCGCATGAACGCTAGGATTTGCCTTGCTCAACCTAACGTCGTACATTATTTGTGGCTGCAGCAGGGAGAGGGGACTACGATAATATCTCGCAGTGAATAAACATCAATCATCCCGCCGAGTCCGCGTCGCGTCGCCCGCAGACTGACGCGCGTCATTACAGCGTGACGCGCCTCACTGCAGTTGACGCGTTATGCGGTCCGTTACAAACGAGACATTACTTATTACTTCATCTGTTAGAGACCTAGTATATATATAGAAATGATACAGATTTGGTATTACCTATCGTATTCATTTATATATATATATGCATTTCATATAAAAATTAAAAAATTATACAAAATTCACCTATACTATTATTACATCATAACACCGTGTTAACTTTAATTTGTATAAACAAAATACTTGGAATAGCTGAACAGCAATCTCTATGGTGCCCTATTGGAAAATTAAATAAACGTAAAACCTTAACTTGGCTCGGATTCCTTCTCTATTTGTTCCATTTACCGAATCTCGTATCGAATAGAACAGGAAATAGTCCGAAGAATAATTACTTTGTAGTGTAGTCAAGGCATTGAACAATTTGTACGGTTACGAATATGTTTTGGTGCCGGGTCCGGTTCCAGTCCGTTGGAGGCAGCAACGGGCCAGAAAGCGCCGCATTTTGGTGCATTTACGCCTCCTCTGCCAAATACCTCGACCAAATAATTGTGACTAATTGACCGACAGACTTTACCAACATGTCATTTATGTAGTAACATTTCAATTTAGGAAAATAGGATTTAAACTAGTATTATTTTACAAATTAGATCATACTTATTAGTTTGCCTCTTTGGGCAATATCATGGGTTTTTTATGTCATATTCATGTCAAAATTCAACTAAATAATTAATAATCTTAATCTTAGCATAAGATATTATACGCCAGAAATTAAAACAAACATGATCAACTATAAGATGAATCGTAAAATTATAAATAGAAAGAACAAACCAGGTTCCGTGGACGATGTTTTCATTTACTTATTTACAGATTCCCACTAACGATGCTCTCGTCTCGTCTCGGCTTTGCTAAGTGGTTATTAACACGGTCATTAAAATTCCCCTTCATTGAGGGAAGTCTTTGTTAAATTGTTCTACAGACCGCTTTAAAATGTTGTTTAATTGAAAACCAAACTATACCTCATCTAATTTCTACGCTCTATTTAATTAAATGACAAAAGACGTTAAGTTTTACGCGTAATTTATAGCCATAACAAGAATGTTATTTATTGTTTAACTGTTGGTTATTCTAATTACCTGAAAGTATATAAATACACAACATAAATATCTGTCACACAAAATCAAATCTAGTTTAGAAAGAAATGAATTTTACATTTAAAGAAGTGCTTCCTTTTTCGGAGCAATCTTCAATTTGATTCTTTATCTGCGACTTTACTTTGCTTCGTCGTAAAGACGGTTTTAATCAGAGCCGTACATAAAAGTCATGTCTTAAAAAAGTGATGTTTTTATAGGTTCATTAGTCAGCTCCTAAATAATGATTGGAATAACAAGATGAGCGAAAATAATTCCGGCATAATAAATCTAATTCAAAACATTCTTGTATCGTAACTAGCTGTCAGCGTAAAGTTGTAACAGTCTAAAAAAACACTTAATTAGTAGCGAAATCCGTGCAGCCATTGTGAAGATGTCTCATAGCAAACATCCATCCATCCATCTATTTAAACTTTCGGATTTATAATATTAGTAAGTTTAGATATAACTGCATTCAATAAATATCAAGAGACAAAACTGTTTTGTACACTTTAGGTGGCAATTAGTTTCATAATTCATAATTTTTAAATAGAATTGGTTTAAGTGTCATCTTTTGGGGAGAGGCATAATTAATAGTTATAATTAGTTTGTATGCTTTCTTTCGATGAACAGCAAAATTACATTTTAAAATTAGTTTTACGCCATCTTTTGAAGAGAAGCTAAACTAAATTTTTTTAAATAGCGTAGTTAATATTTTATTAAATAGATGGCGTAAAAACTAAAACTACTTGCACTTTGCTAATTTACAAATTACTAAATTCCTAATAAAATATAAAACAATGTAACAGCAGAATACCGATTGAAATATTTTTTACTAAAGGTATTGAGGCTTTGAAAGTACTGCCATCTGAGCAATCGTAAAAAAAAAATCAATCAGAAGGAGGCACGACAATTTTAATTAAGCCACTTACCAGCAGATGGCGTTAAGCAATTGGCCATTCGATCGTTGGACACAGGATAAACGAATTAGATAAAGTAAAAAATAAAATTAACCTTAATCTATTTTAACTTAAATGCTTTAATTCTTAAGCCAATAAATTGTTCCGAAACGTCTTCCAATACCGAAATACTGCAGTCGAAACCCACAGTTAACTATATGCTTAAGTTACCTACAACGATAAGATACGTTGTGAATTGGAAAAAAAGATGATGATTCCAAGGTAATTAAAATGAAAAGGTAGTAGACGGTAAGTGGTTAGTTATAGTATTAAAGCTAGTTGATTTTTTATATCTAAAAACATATTTTGCGTATTTATCATTTATGTAAACAAATGTTCACTATCACAAAACAAACAGAAACTAATAATCAGATAATGTAAAAAACAACCAACTTGTTAACTCGAACAACGCAACAGATATGTATGTATGTGCGTCATATCATATCATACACTCAATACAGTGTTGTCAAATCTTTGTCAAAACGCACACGTCTTGCTTAAAACTTGTTTCAAGCATCGATGTTTTCAAGTATTATCTTCGAAATAAAATAACAAAAAAATTTATAAATAACAAGCAGTAAGTTTTTTATCATTAATAAAAATTGTTAATTTCCTTCCTCCGTCGAGAAACAAAAATAAAATGAGACGATGAAAAAAAAGAATTGTGTTTTGTTCATATGTTTACAATGTTTTACACATAATTTATTCATTTTTAACTAAACTATGATCACACAAATTGAAATATTAACGCATTTTCTCAATGTTTTAATTATTTTTCAGACAATGTTAGTGGTGACATGGCTTATGGTGATTGTGGTGGCTTGTTCCCTCTACTTATGGAATGTATACTCAAAGTTCAGCAAAGTTAAAATCAAGCACCTGAAGCCGTTTCCCCTCCTAGGTAACATGAGCTGGATATTGTTACGTCGAGAACATTTTGCAGAAGCTATGGCAAGACTGTACACAACATTCCCTGAAGAAAGGTTATTTTTTAACTCCTCTTTTTAAAAGACGAAAATTTCATTTCGTCTGTCGTCGTCAGATTTCCACTGTCGAGAAACTTTCATTCAGAAAGATATTTCCATCTCTCTCTGTGTTTGTGAAACACGAAGATGTTCTACACAAGTGTCTCGTGTAGAATTTCATGGCTAAGACATTCCGTCTTGGAAATAGAAGAAAGTAAAATAATTATCAACTTACTTAGCAGCTTGCAATAGAAAGAATAAAAAATAACACGACATTTTTTTAGGTTTTTAGGTTGGTTTGAAATATTGAATCCATTGATAATGTTGAAAGACATCGAGTTAATAAAAAAAATATGTGTAAAGGACTTCGAACATTTTTTGGATCATCGATCGTTTATTGACGCAAAGGCTGATCCATTCTTCGGTAGGAACCTTCTGTTGTTAAAAGGTAATAAAATAAATTCATATATACTTTTTTATTTAATATCTATTGTTCCGAACAAATCCGATGATACCAATTTGAGGAAGTCCGTTTTTTATTTTTTCTGTATATTAATTTTGTTTTTCAAACAAAAGCGTCTTATATTTAAATTCATACCGTAAGAAAAGTTTTACTATTACGTGGCTACACACTGGCAACTAAACTAGGCGTGGTACTTCTAATAACCTCCGCATGTTGATTCCTTCGACAGGCGAGGAATGGAAAGACATGCGGTCGACCCTGAGCCCCGCATTCACCAGCTCCAAGATGCGGCTCATGGTGCCCTTCATGGTAGAAGTCGGCGATATCATGATCAAGTCGCTCAAGGAGAGAATACAGAGTTCAAAAGGTATCAAATGTGACACAATACATTTTGTGTAATGAACAATTCATGATACTATAGGTTGTTCTACAAGTCGCCCGCAGAATTTCCGCGTGTAATTGTAAAAAATACCTCTGCCCTATTCCAGTCTGGAAGATACCAGATGGAAAATACCTGTTGACAAACATCCATTCCTCCTTTCAAACTTTCGCATTTATAATATAAGTAAGATAGAAAGTAAGAAAGACTTGTGTTATAGATGGGTATATCGACATAGACTGCAGAGACCTGACGACACGGTACGCGAATGACGTCATCGCCTCTTGTGCCTTCGGCTTCAAAGTGGACTCGCACACGGACAGAGACAACGAGTTCTACAAAATGGGCAGAGTCGTCGCCAACTTCGATTCTAAGCAGATGCTCAGACTAATGTTTATGTTAACTTGTCCTACTGTTTCAAAGGTTTGATGTATATTAATTTATGTACAAATTAATATTTGTTATTAGATTTTTCAGCCGGAACTTATCATAGCTTCAGCCGCATAGAATTTCTTCGACAAATCTTTTTATCTAAATGCCTTCTTCTTACAATCTATGGTTCTCCATAAAAATTATGTCAGAAAATCATAATTTGATAACTTTCGGCAATACTTTGTAAGTGACCTTCCATGACATTGAATGAAGACCTCCAAATTTAAATTATCCTTGATTGACACAAATTGGACAACATGGCCGCAATTGAAGCCCCCGCCTTGTATTAACGCTGCATTCAATGTACGATATAAAATGATTGTGACCCTACTTTTAGTACTTTAGTGTATAAAATCAACGTATATATAATAGGAAAGAAAAAATGTTTATTAATTTCTTATGTTTTAGATGTTAAAGATCTCTTTGTTCAACGCTTCGACGATTGATTTTTTCCGAAAATTAGTTGTAAATACTGTCAATGAACGTGAGGCAAAACAAATTGTCAGACCTGACATGATACATTTGCTAATGGAGGCTAAAATAGGTAAATACGTTATTAACGATCAATTAATTATTGTCAAAGGTATTATTGAATATTGCTTGTCCTTCAGGTAAATTAACACACGAAGAGAAAACTGGCGCTGATGCAGATATTGGTTTCGCAACTGTTGAAGAATCATCAGTGGGCAGGAAGAAAGTTAGCAGAGGTACTTTGCTATGTACATAAATATGTATGCAATTATTAAAATTATAAAGAAGTATGTTTAATATTATTTTTAGTGGTAGAGTGCAATACACAAGCACACAGAAGACAGTCGTCAAGTGCATACTCGTGACATCTTTGAGTGTCACAGCAATGCGTATAACAATGATAATAAATGATGTAAAATTTCAGTTTGGACAGACGACGACCTTGTAGCTCAGGCATTAATATTCTTCTTCGCGGGCTTCGACACCGTGTCTACAGCGATGATGTTTGCTCTGCATGAGCTGGCGATGAACCCGGACGTCCAGAACCGGCTGTTTGACGAAATTAAACAACACGAAGTGAGGAATGGTGGAACACTTGATTACAATTCAATACAGAATATGAATTACTTAGACATGGTTGTGTCAGGTACACTTTAACCTTCTAATGCTTCTTTATTCTTTTTATTTTATAATTAACCACAATTTCTTATTCGAAACTTTTAGAAGTACTCAGAAAGTGGCCGCCCGCCATTGGACTGGACAGGCAGTGCTTGATGGACTACAACTTGGGAAAACCCAACAAAGATGCTGCTGAGGATTTTATTGTGAGAAGTCTGCATATTCTATTAATTATTTGAACAATAATAAATAGCTAGAGATAAAAGTTTTTCAGAAAATATTTGTTTCTTTACATTGGAAAAACTCTGTAACACCGATTTTCTAAAATATTTTGTTAATGAATGCTTAACAGAACTTAGAACAGATTGACAGTCCTAGCGACAATGATTTCTGATCTAAATGAAGTATTATTACGTTCAAGATTCGCAAGGGGCAGACGGTGACGGTGCCCGTGTCGGCGATCCACCGGGACCCTGCCCTCTACCCAGACCCCGACATGTTTGACCCTGAACGCTTCTCGAAGGATAACAAGCATCTCATCAAACCATTCACTTACATGCCATTCGGTCTCGGGCCCAGGAACTGTATAGGTATGTTACTGCCAATATTACAATTATGATACCGATCTTCATTTCTTAATGTGTGTCTTTTTAGTTAACAAACTAATGTCCTTTTTTATGTTTTGCTATATCCTTGGTAATCGAGATGGTATTTTACATGTATTCTTTCTTTCTATTTTATTCCTTAACTTGTTAGAGAATTATTCAACAATACCAAGATTTTTGAATATTGAAAAAGTTGATCAATTTATTAAGTACGTACTGTCTTTTATGTGTCCATAAGCATCTGCATTAAATGCAGCGTATATTTATAATCCTTGCGTGTGTGTAGGTTCTCGGTTCGCGCTGTGCGAGTTGAAGGTGTTGCTGTACCAGGTGGTGCGGCGCGTGCAGCTGTCTCCTTGTGAGAAGACCTGCGTGCCAGCGAAGCTTGCCACCGACACTTTCAACATACGACTTAAAGGCGGACACTGGCTCAGGTTCCGCCTCAGGGAATGACGTTCTATGCAAGTATCATTGTTATATACATAATTGAAATAAACAAGACAGGGTGACAATGTGAATCACAAAATAAGAAAACACACGGAATTATCTGTGCAAGATACTTGTACGTCTAGTTCTCAGGTAAATGCACGGTAACTGTCGAGGTGTTCTGCAAATAAACAATTTCATTAATGATACTGTAACTGACTGTCTTATAATGTGTATGGTCAAATAAAAACTTTTAATATTTTATAGCTGTTTTATTTACACACATCACTACTTACATTGATCTAGTTGAAATGTAAAAGCATACGTAAGGTTAGAGTGAAAATGTGCAGCCGTCCTTGTCTGCTAGTGAAAGATAAAAAAGCATTAAATCTTAGTATATAAAGAATTGGTCAGGAGTTTCAAAAATCTTATCCTGGTATATTTGAAATATTCAGCTTCATCTTTCTTTTAGTAAAATTCACTGTCACTGTCGTAGCCGGAACCTGAGCCAGTGTCCGCCCTTGAGTCGTATGTTGAATGTGTCGGTGGCGAGCTGCGCTGGTATGCATGTCTTCTCGCAGGGAGTCAGCTGCATGCGCCGCACCACCTGGTACAGCAGCACCTTCACTTCGCACAGCGCGAACCGAGATCCTGGACATTTAATACAACTCATTAGTAATGTAAATTCTGTCCCAAATTTATTATTAAACTTTGGCGATTTGAACATAAAATAATCAAATGCTTTGATTTCTAAGATTATTGATGGTTGATTGAATTATGTAGTCGACACCGCAACATTAGTATCATATGATATGGCACATGTTTCTCAACTCACCGATACAATTCCTTGGACCAAGGCCGAAGGGTATGTATGTGAATGGCTTAATTTGATGCTTGTTCTCATCTGAGAAGCGCTCTGGATTGAACTTTTCTGGGTCCGGGTAGAAATTGGGGTCGTAATGAATCGACCACACGGGTATTGTTACTATTTCACCTTTACGTATCTACAACAAAACCTTTTTTTACAATGAAACAAAAAATGGAGCACAACGAGATCAAACATTCCCGAGTTATAAAATTTAGAAGATTATGATATTTCTTACAATATAATCCTTAGTGGCTTCTTTATTGGGTTTTCCAAGGTTGTAATTATTCAAACACAATCTGTCCAGTGCGACAGCCGGTGGCCATTTTCTAAGTACCTCTAAAAATAGAATTTGAATTTCAAGAACATATCATAGAAGGAACGCGAGTATTGATATGACAATACTTTTAAAGTCCTGTCAGGAAAGAGATAACTCGTTTACCTGACACAACCATATCCAAGTACTTCATGTTCTGTATTGAAGTGTAATCGAATTTCCCTCCGTTCTTCTGATCATTGTCCCTTATTTCCTGCAGCAGTCGCTCCTGCATGTCAGGGTTCATGGCCAGCTCGTGCAGTGCGAATGTCATTGCTGACGAAATCGTCTCGAAACCCGCAATAAAGAACAGCACTGCTTGCGCTATCAGGTCGTTTTCAGTCCAAGCTAAAAAAAACTGTGTATCTTTCAAATGATTCATATCTATGAATATAATAATACATTTTAATATATTTTTATCAGACTCTGGGCTAAATTATATATATGGGTATTTAATAATAGTTTATAAAGTACTAACCGCGGTTAACATTCTTTTTGCCTACAGATGATTCCTCAACAGTCGCGAAGCCTGCATCATTGTCGTCGCCTGAATCATCATTTGTCACCTGACCTGGACATCATACAACATCATCAAAAACAATATGATTAATAATCAGCATACTAATTACTGTATCTTTAGTTGACTCAACAATCCAAGATGTGTTTTCTTACCTTTTTTTACTTTCATCAGCAAATTAATCAAGTCAGGTCTGATGATACTTTTACTTTCACGCTCTTGAATCGTTTTTTGAATAAGATCTTGGAAAAAGTCTTTTACGTTTTGATCGAAAACAGATATTCGTAATATCTGAAATATTTTTAATGTTAAATACATTCAATAAAGACTATTTTTTATGAACTTCGATTAAATCCACGACGCATTCCTATATTAGATTTACCATACTGATATGTATTAGTGATATTTCTGGAAATTAGTTCAATTAGAGTGAATCAAGACTTACTTTTGAAATCATTGGCCAAGAGGCGGTAACAATAATCTTGAGAAGCTGCACGAAGCGGAAGGTGGCAGCCACGTTGCCCATCTTGTAGAAGATGTTGTCTCTATCCGTATGTGAGTCCACTTTGAGGCCGAATGCACAGGAGGCGATGACGTCATTCGCATACCGATTAGTAAGGTCTTTGCACTCGACGTCTATGTAGCCTCCTGTTAAAGCAATTCTTCAGAACGAGAGAAATCCTTTATGGCTTTTCTTATACCATAATTAATTTAAATGACGTATTAAACTTGTAATGTCCCAAATTATGAAATTCCAAACGAAATAGGCATGTACTAATTTATTTTCTACTTACTACAAACATCGGGATACCTTCTGAACTCTGTATTCTCTCCTTGAGCGACTTGATCATGATATCGCCGACTTCTACCATGAAGGGCACCATGAGCCGCATCTTGGAGCTGGTGAATGCGGGGCTCAGGGTCGACCGCATGTCTTTCCATTCCTCACCTGTCGCAGGGTACAAAACATCAAGAGCGTGTACATATAACATTTTATCAGATCTAAAAGAAACATGATAAAAAGTCAGCTATTTTAAAATACCTTTCAGTGAAATGAGACTTCTGCCGAAGAAGGGATCAATTTTCCCATCAACAATGGGACGATGATCCAAAAAGTATTCAAAATCCTTGACTCCTATTGTTTTTATGAGTTCAATGTCCTTCAACATAATAATTGGGTTTACAAATTCGTACCAACCCAAAAACCTAAAAATGAAACTTATTCATGAAAAGATGCGCCAAAGTTTTCTAAATGATGATTAATGGGTTTAAGAGTGGTAGAGTCACTAGCAGCATTACGTCCTGCAACGCGTATTTGTCTTATGTAAGTAAATCTATACCGAAATTCAATCAAGAGAATGAAAAAAAGTAAAAGATGATATTGTATGTACATATGTTGTGTAAGTGGATATGAATAAATAAATAAAAAATCGATAGTATACTTGTCATCGGAATACGCGTTGTAAAGCTTTGATGTAGCTTCAACAAAGTGATTCCTGCGAAGAATTACGGAGGCCATGTTGCCGAGAAATGGCGTCGGCTTCAGGTGGTTGACGCCACGTTTGCTGAACTTGGAGTACACCTCGCGGGAGTACAGCCAGCAGACGGACAGGACCACCGCCGTCCATATTAGCAGTATCATTAACATGTCCTATTAAACAGAATATATTTGAACATTCTCCAGTTTTTATTCCAAATATATATTTTACGTATCAAAATAGTCGACATCGATATTTTGCTTTCTGATGTTTGTATGGAATTCGTTAATCTCATGAATAATGTGACTCATTTTGATGAAGTGATTATTATAATGTGATATTTGTATTCAGTATATTTTATGTTTACTTTTGAATTGGTCCATTTAGATTAGTTACATTATATGTATAATACATTCATATTTCCGAGGAAGATAACTCGCCTGTGTTATATGTTTTTGTTCTTTTGTTACAAATATACCACTATTTACAAAATTAACGTACAAATTAACTGAAAGATCAATCAAGTTATCAATTACCAAGAAGTAAACTAATTCAGTACTTTTATTTATGAAATGTTACACCGATTTTTTCGACGAATTTATTATTAAAGATAAAATAAAATTATCACTACTACTTTTATTTGAAAACAATTCCTTACCTGTTATGTTTGCGACGTTGTTATTGGCCAGTTCCACTGTTAGTAAATACAACCATAAAACTCTTCTGAGAGCACCTTATTTACAACTGACTTGGACACACGCTCGACAACGGTACAACAAGCACTGAATGAGACGAAGCCACTCGTCTATTTTGACATATCAGCCACGCGACGAACGCATGGCCTTGTTTTTTGTATGCTTATTATGAAATCTTTTTCACTATAAACTCAATAGAAGACACATTTTAGTGTTTTTTAAATTTAGAACAAAATAACTTTTTCTTAAATAAGCCACGACAATCGCCAACGTCCATACCACGTTGAACACACCGGTTCTCGTCCGATCACCGAAGTTAAGCAACGTCGGGCGCGGTCAGTACTTGGATGGGTGACCGCCTGGGAACACCGCGTGATGTTGGCTTTTTGTTGATTTTTGTTAAGGGTATTATCGTATTAGTTATAAGATTCTTACGTTAATAGTTGCTTTCGCCAACGTCCATACCACGTTGAACACACCGGTTCTCGTCCGATCACCGAAGTTAAGCAACGTCGGGCGCGGTCAGTACTTGGATGGGTGACCGCCTGGGAACACCGCGTGATGTTGGCTTTTTGTAAATATTTCTTTTGGTTTTATACTTGCATTAACAAGAATTTTTATCAAGTCGACATTATTTATCTTTTTGTAAATCGTAAGGAGACAATTAATTAGTGACAATATCATTTGGAAATAATTCCAATCAAAATGATAAAAACAAATGCGTGGCAGCAAAAATATTTATATACATACAAGAGATAAATCTATAGATTATCTTGTGTGAAGATTCATTTGATAATTTATTTGTGTTCGTAGAACTTGTAACACTTGATATGCAAATAAATTGTGTAAAACTTGTTTCGTTACGCGCTGCGTCGCCTCGCCTCGTAGCGATGTGATGTACGTACGTACGATGCATACGTATAAGTACATATCAAAGCTGATGGTGGGAACAATATTATATTTGTGTGAGTAAGTCAAGGAAATCGAGTAAAAAACAGGACATCATTGTTTTTTTTTCAAATAAATTTAATTAACAAATCACAACGTACAAAAATTTGTTCATTCAATGCAATGAATGAAATAAAAATCAAAAATATTAACGGCAACGTCTAATAGTTTATGTTAGATTAAGATGAATATTTTATTTACAAAACGTTCATTGCCTAAGCTTGAGGCCTACCCAGTGGCCGCGTTTCATTCGAATATTGAACGTGTTAGTGGCTAACTGCGCCGGAATGCAGGTCTTCTCACACGGGGAGACCTGCACGTGCAGCAACAGTTG